TCTCACCGGCTCAGGGTTGACTCAGCCTTCCATCCTTCCGAGGTGGGTAAAATGAGGACCCGGATTGTTGGGGGCAATATGCTGACTCTGCAAAACTCCAGCTGTCTCTAGTCCTCCCCTCCCTATCCCTCAACTCCAGTGTGGCAACACTGAAGCTCCAAGATGGCTCCGGTCAGGTCAGCTTTAGGGTTGACCATTTCAAACAACATTGTCTCAAGCAGATTGGTATGGTTCAAGGGTGAAATCTACCGGTTTGGACCGGTTCACCCAAACTGTTAGTAAAAAATGCTACCTAATCTAAATCGCGTGGCACAGCAGATCTTGCTTCCCTCGCTGTTCTACTTACCTTTGCTAACTTGGAAGGTTTCAAAATGTTCCTTTTTTAGCGCTGCGCAGGCGCATCTCAGCTGCACATGCTTGCAAAGCGCACTCGGTAGCAGACTCACCGAGCCGGTAGCAGACTTCAGGGGATGACACCACTGATGTGGTTGTTCAGATCCTTCCTATTTGTCTGTCACTGTTGCTGCAGCCGAAGAAAATAATTATCTCCATTTGTATTGTGTTTCCAGTAGGGTAGAACCCGATTCAGGCACCGATTAGCTTTTAAACATACTTCTTGGGGATGGAAAGTTTTAATCAGGTGGCTGTTGTTATTTCTTTTCTTGTGCTTTTTGCAAGTGTCAAAGTAGAAAGAAAAAAAGAAAACATAACCCTGCATTTCAGTTGGCTGACCCATTCACAGGTCTTAAAATATAATTAAAACCAGATAGAAAACTGCATTTTATTGTTTGCTTCCTCGAATGCCATTTTTAGCCGAGAGATACAATAAGGAAAATATTTGAAAGAAAACTATTACAGATGTTTCTCAAAGTGTGAGTAAAATAGACATCCATCTTAGCATCCAGTTTGTGTGCCTTTCTGGCGGCGGGGGGGGGGGTGTGTCTTCTTTTTTGCAGGGTAAAGACTCATGTGGAGCTTTGCGTGTGCAAACACACACTCACACACACACACACTCACAGAGGCAAGTGAGAGAGAAAGAGAAAAATTACTTCTTACAGCTCTAAATTCAGACTCGCTCCTTGTTTTTCATAATTTGTCATAGCACATAAGAAACACCTATCACCACGAAGAGGCATTCCGGGATACTTACATACATGCATGCTTCATACATGAATGATGATCAGGAGAAAGCATGGGAGACATTTGCTGATCATCCACGATTGCTGAGAGAGAAGGGCCGTTCATTAAAGTAGATAAATGTGTGTGTTGGTATGAATTGTGTAGAGCAAACTTCACAACTTCGTACCTTGAGATATATCAGTGTTGGAGCTCTCAATAATCAGTCATACCGTCTGGCAATTTTGGAAACTTGTCAAAATATCAAGGGGTGCCAGCCCTGAGAATACCGGATCATAATGCCAGGCATTGACTTAATTGCTACTTGAGTCATCTGTGGTTTTCCTAATACAAAGACGTCCACTGTTAGGAGAAATCTCCAACCATTCTTCACCTTAAAAGCCTCTGTTTTTAACTTGTGCCTCTTTGTAAAGCATATTTTCTGTGTGATAAACCTTTCTCTGTTACCCAAACCTGCTTTTCAATCCTTGCATTAACTACTGAAGTGAGTACTGAATTAGGTTAGATAGGTTTTGGTTTTGTGGTGGAGTTTGGTTGTAATCTGTATGTCTAGTCTAACGAAGAGATTGAGGAGGGGGTTTCATGATTGTAGTTTCCCAATATTTGAAACAGAGAAAGAGGGCAGGTCAACCAGTGGTGGGTTCCTACCGGTTTGAACAATTTTTGCGCGTGCACCGAAATGGTAGCAATGCCGGCAGCAACCCACCCTGGGGTCAACCTATTCTCCAAAGCACCAGAGGACAGGACAGGAAACATTGGATGGAAACTAATGAAAGAGAGAAGCAACCTGGAATTAAGGAGAAACTTCCTAACAGTGGGGACCAGTAGAAGAGTTTGCCACCAGAAGTTGTGGGTGATCCATCACTGGAGGTTTTTATGAAGAGACTGGACAGCCACTGATTTGGAATAGCATCAAGCAGGGGTGTCAAACTCGCGATGACATGTTGTCACATGACGTATCGCAACTTCTCCCCCCTTTGTTAAAACGGGGGTGGGCATAACCAGTGCATAACACATCTGGCCCGTGAGTTGCGAGTTTGACACCCCTGGTATCAAGTTTCTTGCTTGAGCAAAGAGTTGGACTAGAAGACCTCCAAGGTCTCCTCCAACTCTTATTCTAGATTCTCTTATAGTCAAAGCTAAAATGTATTAGATCATTAGTACTCAGTGGTAGGTTCCAGATTCTGTTGCAACCGGTATGGTGCAATGGGTCCCAGCGTCCTCCACATGAACGCGTGGAGTGCTCGCATGCATCCTTACCTCCTGCAATGCTCCAGCTGCTCGGCGGAGCATTGTGCAGGCGTTGTACGCTACATGCGCGTAAGCCCCAAAGAGTTCACATACAGGTAAAGACAGCAGGCGGGTGGGCCCTCCGGAGCACCGTATCGGAACGGTATNCAGAAGCTGGGACAAGTAACGGGAGCTCACTCCGTTACGTGGCTTTAGGGATTCGAACTGCTAAACTGCCAACCTTTCTGATCGACAAGCTCAGCGTCTTATCCATTGAACCACCATGTCCATATGTCACATTTTGATTGCGAGCAACAATGCCCGTTATGGCTCCGCCATTATTCTTCAATACTTCTCCTGCCACTGCCTTTATTTATAAATTCCTACAGCATGGGAAGTTCTGATGTAAGACTTCATGGCGTCCTGAAGCATTTGTCTGTATCTTTTGGTAGGTTTCAGGCTATCCCGGTTCCCATGGAATTCCAACCCTGGCAGGTAGCATTTATCCAGGACAAGCCTCTCTTTTGGATCAGACAGATTCCTGGAACCATCGGTCTCAAGAAATATCCATGTGGCAACCCAACATGGAGGTAATTTTTCCACCCAGTTATTTCACAGACCATTTTCCCCCTCCCTCTTTTTGATGTGTCTCTGTGCTGATGCATATATTATATTCCTTGAATTATTACGGGGGAATTGAAGGGCCCCCTAGAATTCTCAGTTAATCTTTCTGATAAAGTTTAGATTGGTCTGCTCATGGATATTTCCTGTGAACTCACGTGGACTGTCAAGTTAGCCAGTACCAAAGAGCTATTTAGGAATAATTTAACAGCCAAGGGAACAGCGTGCCCTCAGACATTGTGGGTGTGTCATCACTGGTGGCTTTCAAGAAGAGACTGGATGGCCACTTGTCAGAAATGGTATGGGGTCTCCTGCTTGAGCAGGAGGGTGGATGAGAAGACCTCCAATGTCCCTTCCAACTCTGTTATTCTATTATACATCTACTCAGAATTTTGAGACAGTGTTTCATGACTTCCAGGGCAAGTGTGAATAAGTCATTACTGATACTTGTGGCTTCGTTTGGCAGGATAAAGTTTTAGTTTAGCCAAGGTGGCGCAGTGGTTAAATGCAGCACTGCAGGCTACTTCAGCTGACTACAGTTCAGCAGTTCAGCTGTTCAAGTCTCACCGGCTCAGGGTTGACTCAGCCTTCCATCCTTCCGAGGTGGGTAAAATGAGGACCCGGATTGTTGGGGGCAATATGCTGACTCTG